TTTTCATATCATGGCTTTAATCAATTTATCACTTTAACCAGCTATGACTAGTATAACTGACTGTAGTGATCTAGAAATACAACAGTGGGGAGATGTTGTAATTTAAAAAAAAGAACTTTGGTCAAAATATATAGAATACATTCTATTTTATATGTGATAGAAAGATATGTTAAATACTGATACTCCAAAGACACACTGATTGTTCAGGCACTACGCTGGACAATATAGACTTTGTATATGAAAATCAGAATTTGTGTGCAAGTCAAATTCATGATGCAATGGTGTAATCAGTTAACCTGAAAATAAATAAATTACAAGAAATGTAATGTGACTTAGTTCTGATATGTATCCAATTATGAAATAAATGTATAAACATAAAATAATAATCCTGGGCATATTTGCCAGCCATTACCAAGTAATTTTATTATTTAATAAAATTGCTTCGAATGTTAAAGTATGAGCTAATCTGCTAAACCCAAACTAAACAAAACTAAACCAAGGCTTAGTCAGTATGTTAGCCCTGTCCTTCTCAGTTTTGCCTGGGGAAATTAAGAATTGAACCTGTGAGCAATACATCTGCTACAGGACTATGCTATGGGTATGTTATAAAGCACAAAAATGATGTATTTCCATTCAATATATTACATGTATTTTTATCAATGGATATTTGCTGGTTTCTTTCAAATTCTACTTGTTGCCTCATGATTTTTCTGCAAGGTATTTGGGTGGGGCAGGTTTATAATAAATACAGCTCACAAGCCACCACTAGCCTTGTGGTCCCAGAATGTCCCCAGAAGGAACTATGGCAAAAATTAGCCTATTTTTATTTGGATAAGAGAGCAGACTAAAAATATCCTGATTCAGTATTTTATCTCTTTGGACCACGGAACACTACTTAAAACCTGCTGTGGCCCTTTGTATGCTGATATTTCAGATTACACAACCCTGAAATATATATGTACTTATTAATTTGTGCTGTTTACAATGTGGCATAGGAGGTGCTATGGCTCAGCAAATGGAATGGTAATCTGACAGCAAGACTCACGCACCTTGCCAAGGGGTGAGCTCCCATTCTTTTATCAGTTCTTGCCAACTAGTTGTTCAAAAGCATACAAACACAAGTAGATAAATAGGCACTACTTCGGTTGGAAGGTAACAGTGTTCCATGCTCTTTGGAATATAGTCATGCTGGCCACATGATCAAGAAGAGTCTTTGGACAATGCTGGCTCCCTTGCCTAAGAAATGGAGGTGAGTACTGCCCCCTTAGAGTTGGACACAACTGAACAGGAGAAATCTTTACTTTTCTTTATTGCCTGTCAGATTACACAACCCTGAAATAAGATATATATCCACCTATTGATTTGTGTTGTGTACAATATGGCATAGATTTTTTGATGTTTGCAGTAGCAAATCCTGTCCTATTTAGAGAAGTTTGACTAAAGCCAATGCTGACACAGATGCGTGATGCGCACAACACCTTTATTTTATTATTTATTACCTTAATTTTTCAAGCAATAGCAACAATGGTTCTATAGCCTACAGTGTAATTGCTGATCCTTTTAGCTATTTCACATTCTGACACATCTCATTTATATGAGCAATTGTTTGGAAGACTTCCAAGATAGGAATTTGAGTAAAAAAAGGAAGTTACTTCCACTAACTTGAAAAAAATAAATCAAATGTTTAACATATAACAACAAGATTGCTGATGTGAGAAACACATACACACACACAAAGTGAGACAGAGATTAATCGGGATGTAAAACTGGCCAACATTTGATATAAACTTAATTATCTTAGATACAAGAAAGTTCACTGAGCAAACATTCACTTTAATTCCTATGGCACTTGTGAGCAATCAATAAGCTAAGAATTACTTGTAAAATCAAAGATATGATAAGAATTATTTGTTTCCCCAAAAAGGAAAATCATAAATTGGAAATATAGATTTACACATTTTAATCTCAGAACTACCAATTATTCCAGTTATGTCAATTCATCTATTTGTATTATTATCCAACCCTTGAATTCTAGGTAGATAGTATAGGAATTTATCTGATGCCAGCAACTCAAAGCACTGTATTCCTTGAAAACAATCTGTATTGGCATAAAAATCCTCTTCTGTCAATGGAACATTACTTGTAGCATAAGAGACATATTCAGTTCAAATGACTTTATCTGGATGTTAAGAGTTCTGGGATTACTGGACTAATAACAGAATATCAAAATACACATTAAATTGCTTAACCAATGGAAGGTATAGATTTCAAGGTAAGGATAATGAGTCTAAGAAGACTCAAAAGATAATTATTCTGAACGATAAAAGGAATCATTTATATGGATTCCTGGCTCCTTGTCGGAATAAAAGCTAACTGACTAAACTTATATTTACAACAGGCTACAAAATCTACATTGGTAGTAAAGGGTATTTTCAAAATATTACTGCTCTCTATAGTCTTTTGAATCTGTGCAGCCCAATCCCATGACCTTAAAAGAGATGCTTATTACTAATCATTTCCATAAGGAATGTTTGGTTTTAAGAGAGAAGGACAATTCAAGTTGAAACATGATGATTACTAATATCAGTTTGAAGTATTCTTATGGATTGTTTGATTAAGTTGTTGAGTTCATAGTCAGGAAAACATTTATATCCAGCTTGTACACAAATCCTTTGATTAATATACAGAAATCAGTAGGTATGTTTATAATAAATAGAAGTAGCCTAGCAACTGTTGTGATCTTCTTACTCATCAATGCAAATGACATTATCTACAAAAAACTAACACAGCTGAACCTCTGTATAACAAGGGACACAAGGTTTTCATAGTTTTATCAATAATTCCTTATTTGATTATTCCTTTGAAAAGCAATTCTGTAATTTGATTCATTATTTAAACCACAATGTTTGGCTTGGGTTTTGCATGATATATGATTCCAAAGTTTGTGACTTGTAAATCATAGCTCATGGTTTAACATGTCTTAAAATAAGGGAGAGATTACCTGTAGTGATGCAAGTAATTTCCCAATATGTATTGATAAATATGGCCAATTACATCAATGTATTAATAAATATCGCCATCATGTTGGCTAAGCTGAAGCAGTTTTTTATTATTATTAAAATTGTTTGCTGCACATTCACCACAAGGCAAGTATGGGCGGCTTGTAACATTAAAATGAAACCATAAATATATGAATAAATATATAAAATCACATTAAAATTACAATAAAATACAAGTTATAATAAACATGGGAACAAAAGAAGGACAACATATGGGGTGGGAGGAAATGTGGGAACTGCTGTTAATTGATCAACCACCTTCAGTGTGAAATTTCCCATTGGGGTACCAAACCAACTGATAAAGCCAGGACTTTAGGCGACTATAGAAAGTTAGGAAGGTGTGAGCCAACCACACTTCAGGGGAAAATAGGTTCCAAAAGGCCAGGGTCGTGGCAGAGAAGGCTCTTCTTCTGGGTCCTGCTTCCAAAATTCCTTGACTGACAGCACCTGCAGCATGCCTCCTTTGCTGGCATGAATGGGGTGGAACTGTTCCATAGGATGGTTTGTCAGGTAACCTGGACATATGCCACACAGGGCTTTTAAAGGAAATAACCAACACTTTGAATTGCACCAGAAGCAAAACAGGGCTCAGAATAGTGGTGTAACATGGGCCACTCTAGGGTCCCAAAGACTGCCCATGCTGTTGCACTCTGTACCAGCTGAAGCTTCCAAATTCTCTTCAAGGGTAGACTCATATACAGCGCATTGCAATATTCCAAGCATGGGAGGACCAGGGCTTGAATGACTGAATGCAGGGACTCCTCCAGAAGCTGCAACTGACACACAACCCAAAGTTGTGCAAAGGTTCTCCTACCACAACTGCCACCTGATCTTTGAGTCACAAGTTGAGGAGAACTCCCAAGTTGTGGACTAGGTCTGTCTGAGGTAGCGCGAGCCAATTTAGATCTAAAAATCTCAAAGTCCAGGATCTCGAAACTCCCCTCCCCATGAGTCAATTGTATTATTTTGGTACCCAAACAGAAAGATATACAAACAACTATCCATTTCCTGGCAATTTGATGCCTTTATTCTGTTTATATATTTTTTAAATAATAATTTATATAGTTTTGGTTATTTATTGCTTTATTGTGAAAGCCAAGGGAGGGGAACCCAAAGATGCCTTATTTAGTGATTGCTAGGCCTTGGCATAGATTTTAAAAAACGCCATGCTGTATCTGTCTATAAAGACCAAAATCATGCAAGCTTTGATATTCCATGTGATACTCCTCCACAAAAGTGAAAGTTGAACTTTGAAGAAGCAGGATAGGAACGGTATTGACATCTTTGAACTTTTGTGTTGAAGAAGACTCCTGAAAATGCCTTAGACATCCAAGAAAACAAACCAACGGCTCATCTAACAAATCAACGCAGAATTCTCACTCAAGGCACAAACGACCAAACTCAAATTATCCTACTTTGTACACATCATGCAAAGAACCAGCTCTTTGTAAAGGCTCTAATACTTGGAAACATACAAGGAAGAAGAAGAGGTGATGGATAGATCCAGATAAGAGTGGCAATGGGTGCAATTTTGAAAGACCTCAAAGACCAGGTTATGAACAATTATTGGTCATGGAGAAAATCTAAGTTATCTCCAGCAGGGCAAAACGATTTGATGGCACATAATTAAAAGAAATTCACAATTTCTTCAGTTAGGGCGAAGCCTAAATATGCGGGTACTCTCAGAATGGTATTTTAATATAATTTTGGGTAAGTGTGTATGTGTGTTAGAGGTGATACCGAGACCATTTTCAATCTTCTTGGCTCCTCTGAATCTCCCCCTCAACTTTGCTTCCGCGAACCCAGAGAACGGCCCGCCAGAAAAAACTGAGAATTTTTCGACAGGAGCCTATCGGCAGGGGAAAAAGAAGAACGCCCGGTTGCTATAGAGACGCTCGTGCCAAAAGACTGGCCAATGCGCTTCGGCGGAGAGGCGGAGCTCGTACGGTCAAGGGAGAAGCTCCAAGATGGCGGCAATGTAAACAAGATCCGGCGGTAAGTCAGGCTGGTAATTTGAGTGGGGTTTTTTGGCGGCGGGGGGGGAACAACTATGTGGTTTAAAGGAACCAGAAAAGTAAGTTGCTTGGGCGGTTTGACTTGGATTTTGGGTTCAAGGCGTCTCGGTGGCAGACGCGGGTGTGCAATACGGGAAAGATGAGCCCGGCCGACACGACTTGTTGTGAAAGAAGCGCCTTAGGCGTTCCTTTCCCAACTCTGAAACGTCTTTTGTGCCGGAGTTTCGTCCTCCCTCTCTCTTTTCACCCTGTTTTTCAGTTGTTTTTATTGACTGGTCGATGTGTTGGCTATTGTGAGGTGAGAGCAAAAGCCGCCAACGGTAGTCTGGGGGAAAAGGGAAATTGCGTTTAGGTTAGGCGGTGGTTGTGGTGCTGCTTTTGTGTAAAAGGAAACTAGAACGAGCTACACATCACCTCAGCTTCCACGGTCTCGGGGCTCCTTAGCATTTCATACTAGCTGCAGAACATTTTGCGTAGATAAGTTGGTGAGGAATTTAAAGAGCGGGATAACCATGAACTGCAACACGGACATAGAGGGGGGTGTAATCCAGGTGCTGAATCATTTAACATCATAAATGTTTGCTGCAATATACGAAACGAGTCTGTGTACATACATACATACATACATACGTGTGTAATACACACACACACACACACACACATTAGTGTAAGATTGGTCAGTAATAGAAATAACTTATAAACAAAGTGTGTAATGGAAGGGAGTTCGCTTAACATGGCTATTTTATAATTTTAGATTAAGACCTGTTGCAATGAATGACAAGGGTGGTCTGGGAATAAAAGAGGAATGGTGATAAGCACGTTTACTTTTCTGTTTTGAAAACATTAAGATGTTTCTGATTATTTCCTTCTCAGATGGGCTATAATACTGCAATCCCATAAATTAAATGTAGCAGATTAATTGATTGATGGGGGAAAGAAGTTTTAGCTATACTCATTCCATACGAGTATGTTTGCTCTAAAAACAGGATCCTCCTGTACCTGCTCTGTACTTAAGTGTAGTAATGCTGGATTTATATCTCTATGTAGGTTTGCCCTTATAATGAGATTTGAGGCAAAAAAGATAATATTCTTCTGTGAAGGAAGATAGGCATCTTTATATTCAGGTGTTGCTTTGCTGCTTTAATCTTTGTAGGATAATGTGGTCTTGTGTCACCTATTGTAATCTGTAGCTATCCTTTTGCATTCTATGTATTTTTGGATTAGAAATCTTGGGATTCTAAACTGGTAAACTGTTGATTTTTCTTCAATGAAGCATAAATAAGTGTATATTCAAATTGTGTGCCTAAATATAATCTATCGGACTCTTAATAATACAAATAAGTGGTGAATAGGAAAACAAAAAGGACAAAGGTAATTGTTTTGTATTGTTTCACTGTTTTAAGCATACTCAGAGTAAGGGACTATCAAAGTTCAGCAATACATAATTTTATATACATTTATCAAGTTTAGTAGAAATCAGTTGGGTTTTAGTTTATTCTTAGAAATGCTACACATGTGAGAAACGCTAACAATTAAAAATTCCATTCAGAAGTAGTGTATATCAAGAATAAAATTAATGTGTTGTTTCATTGTGGAACAAAGTAGGAAAGGATTTTGGAGCTTATCTAGTACTATCTCCTGCTCAGTGCATCCCTAAAACATCCTGATAGGTGACTATCAAACCTCTGATGTGGAGATCTCTAGTCTTCTATCTATTTATCTAGACTGCACAATCTTATTTTATTAAAAATTATCAGAATTTTCTAAAATAAAACCTAACAAATGGAGAGAAATGTTTATAATGTTGCTGTTATAAGTAACAAATATTCAATTGACTATCTGTTTTTGAAAGACTAACAAGAAAACCAAAATGTAGTAATAAGCAAACAGAAAAACATTCCTGTAAAAAAAGGATGATGAGTCATTCAAAGGAAAACTACACAAAATTTTAGAGAGTGTGGTATGGTATTTATTTACATAACACCAATTTGAGAAAGTTAATAATGGTCCACAATAACAAATTAGGGCAATAAAAATAAAATATAACTGATAATTCATAAAACAAAAAAAACCTAGTAAAAACAGTATAATGCCTCATCTGTAAGCACCTTCAGCACCTGAAATATTCAACATCATGTAGAATGAATTATCCTTTGTTAATTTTACAATTTAGATTAAAATCTCCTAAGAGGGATGCTATTTTATAAAGGTTCCATAACTGAAAAATACTTCCTTCAATTTCACCAGATAACTGAGATGAATACAGTGGATAGCATGTTTTTTCTTGGAGAAAATGGTCATGATGGAACCCAGGTACCAAGCCAAGTTGAGCTTTAATGGTCTCAACCAACACATTGAACCTCATAAACTACAAGCAACCGATGCAATTTCTGCAATATTGGTAAAACATGAGTGAGATGGTTATCTTCTACTAGTATTTTGCACCTATGATTTTGAGTAGTTTTGCTATGTTGAGTCCATTGAGATTGTCTAGTTTGGTGGTGATATGGCATGGCTACCGTCACTGGACACTCAATCAAGATATGGCTACAACTGGAACAAATGCTGAAGCTCGATATAGGCCTATCTGGCCATATTCTGTGTCTGCCAAAAGAATTAGAGCTTCGCAGAAGGATAGCCCAGATATTTTTCAAGGAGAGTGCCATACCATTCAGAATTATAACTGAAACAGACTGAGTCCAAAATAGCTTTCTATGTTCATGGAACAATGCAAAGTATTGAAATGACATTTTCCATTCTGTATTTTTTGTCCTCTTCCATATTTTTGTACTGCACATATACACATAAATTGAAGAAGGACATCTAGAACATCTACAGAATGTTTTGTTTGAAAAGCTGGTCAATCATAAATCTGTCTAGGGAAAATATGCAATTGCCAACTTTTATAAATGTAAAGACAATAGTCCACCTTGAACTTATTTATGTATAAAAACATTTCGGTACTGTACCAAGTGCTTTAAAGTACATTTGAAGACCAAAATAAAATTTTGTTCTAACTTGAGAATTTTCTCCTTTTAGAACTAGGAGACAGGCTTTTTCAGTGGTAGTGCTATTGAATTGGAAATTAGTCATCTTCTTCCAAGGTACTGTTAAAGACTTCTGAAAATATCAGCAAATATTTAGCATTTAATTAATTTATCTTTTCACTTACTTTTCATTTTAAATATGTAAGCCATGTTGCCTTTTTCTTATTTATATTTTTTACTTTTATTATATTTTTATTCTTTTTCTTTCTATTGTAGTATACTAATTTATTCACAAGGTTAAACTTTGATAAATTTTGTGTTGCACTGTATGTTATCTTGTTAAATAATCATAGAGAATGTGCTGCACATTTATTCAAAGATTTCAAATGCATCTGAATTTGCACTTTCTTGTACCTCCTCTTTTTTAAAAAAAGTGTAATATGATTCAAAATATTTATTGTTATAACTGCTAAAACAGCAGTTCAAACAAATACTTATGTAATATTTAATTTACTTGAGCACATTGCTAATTTTAAAAATAATTTGTAGGGACATTATTGGACATTAATTTTAATGTATTTTTCAGCTATTTAAATGAAGCACTGTTATTTTTGTAATTTGTTTTTTTTTTCTCAATCCTTATATGGCTAATTTATTCTCATATTCAATTTCTAATAACGAACAAACTAATTTCCAATAATGAATAAAAATGGAGGAGTGCAGTGCATTTAATAATTTTGCTGAAGATTTCTTCATGAAGGTAGTGAGTATTTGATCTTTTCATTTGTAGAGATGTGGAGTGGTCTGCTACCTCCTGGTGTGAATGAAGCTGATGTTGCTGTAAGTTCAGATGATGAAGAAACAGTATCTCTTCATGAGAGTATGTTAAATGAAAAGCAAGAAGAAAAGAAGTTCCTAGACAAACAGACTTGTGATCATGAGGAAAAAAATATGGCTGAAAACCAACTTCCTTCTGCAGAACAGGAATGTCTGGCATGCCTTCCTGGAGTTCCCTTAGATATGTGGAATGTAGGTTTGTTTACAACTCTGTATTCAATTGAACCTGAAATATTAGGTTAGTTATTCCTCTTGTGATATCTAGGCACGTAATCCTTCTGGCAAGAGTAAATTAAATATGTTTTGAATGAAATGTAATCTTTTTAAACTTTTCAGTTATAGAGAAGAAATATTTTAATAACATTGTTTTACAAACTTCTGTCTTAAAGTAAGATTGGAAGATGTTGTGATAATTCCCTTTCACCAAATATGTAGGCACTTCAGTGCTTATATACTGGAATATTTTTGATCTTCTTTGGGGTTTTCAAAATAGATTTTGTCTTTTGTTGCTATATGTGTTTCTCTGTAGTAATGTTATGGAATTTTAACTTGCTCATAAATGATTACTTACTATCTTCATTAAATGTGTTTCACACTTGTTTGTTAAGGCTTGCATATTTTAAGAACGATTTTGAAGAAATGCTTCAGGTATCATCAGGATAGCATCTCTCCTATTCAATAAAACATTACATATACACATACACACACACACACACACACACACACACACATATATATTGCTTCCACATGAACTTGAAAGAGATGTAGCTGTTTTAGAGCTACCTTAACTTCAGAAACTCAGCTTCTTAGGATAGTGTGAAAGACTAATTACACATAGAAAAAAGTTCAAAAGTGGTATGTTCAGTAAGATAACTCTAAATGAAGATGTGGCTGTCTTAATTATTATAGACAACTGCTGTATTCTCATTCCCATGTATTCTGAAGTGTTCCACAATCATAATGCTCAGTGATGTTATGTTTTTTAGAGGAGAAAATAGAATCCCATTGGCCATGCTTGCTTATATTAAACTTTTTGGATCTTAGCTTTTATTTAGAGTTTCAAAGTCAATGTCGAAAGAATGTTCCTACATAAGAAAGTGAAAAGTATCATTTAGTAATATCAGGATAATTCTTGAATATATGAGAACTGAATTGTGTATGTTCAGTGTATACTGTAATCATCTTCATTTACTGTTGCGTTATGAATATTTGTACTTTTTTGGTATTGTGGATCAATTAAAATATTTTTTTGTTTTATGTTACCCAATTTACAGTAATGAAACAAAAGTAAAAGAAATCATTTTTTTCTTTCAACAGAAATTTCAGAATCTGAAAAAGAAAAACCTTGACATGAAAAATCAAGAAAAACGTCAAAGAAATAAACGACAAAAGAGAAAACATTCCCCAAAAGGTGGTTTGTTTCCAGTTGTTAAAATGTAGGGAACACTACAATAAAGTTCCCAAATAACTTGGTGTTAGGATTAGGTAATTTTATTGCCTTATTGATTTTATGTTATTTCATTGTTATCTAGTAGAAAAAAATATTTACCGTAGTCTAGTTCATATAAATATTTACCTAAACTCCAGGTGTTCATAGAAGCTTTGGCATTTTTTTCTAAACCACAGCCTACTTGCAGTAGAACAAATCATGATGGAATTTATGAGCACTTTTTCTAAACTTTTTTTGATAAGGCTAGAGAAGTCATTCATCATAGAAAATATTCACATGGATGAAATAGGTTTATGCATTTTTGTTCATTTATTGTAATTTTTGCATGTGGCATTACAGGTGGATATCTTATGTTTTACTGTGGAAGTAGGCTGAAAGAGAACAAATGTCAATTCCACACTGCATTTTTTTAAATTTTGATCTTTTTCACTGTTAATTATATCCCAGACATTCTTTTCTGAGTTTTAATGGTTGGACCATATAGAATTTTAAAAAGGACTCTTCAGTTGTGGCTTTTGAGTTAACATTTTATTTATATGCAGTGCTATAAATCTGGTAATCTAGTTATTCTACAGGCTGAGGCTGGCAAATCACTTAAGGTCAGGAGTTATGGGCTACAGTGGACTATGCAGTTTGGGTATTCACATATTTATATTGTATGCAAATTAGTCTGAACTTTGTACTAGAAACTCATTAAGCTGATTTCTCTCTGTAATTATTATTCTGTTTTGGAATAATGCTACTTTTGGTAATATCCACACAATGCTTATGCAGGAAGTTGTAGTTGTAGTAAGTGATTATGATTGAAAATATGTATCTTCAGTGGTTAATGACCTGTTTCCTGATAGTGTTCTTACCTTTAAAGGGTTTACTTCATTCACACACACCTTTCCCATTTATGAAGTATTCTTTTGACTGTCTTTTATTTATTTAATATTTTTTCCCAATTTTATATGGCTAAGGAAATCTTATAAGGAGGCTTGATTAACTAAAGCACCAAAAATAACTTTTCTACAAATTATTTGGCTGTAGGTATAAAGGCAATGTATAATAAAACTGATTCTGCCATTCAGTCTGAACCTTCAAAACAAAACAACACCTACCTCTGGCTGTATCACTCCATCACTGTCTTAACTTTGGCAATGTAAGAAATACTATAAAGTGTATTTCTCAGATTTCTATTAGGTGGTCCCTCCACCACTAGCTTAATATCCACATACAGCTAAATATATTATTCTTCAGAGCATATAAGCTTTAATTGCCTCTGAACTTAAGTGTCAGTACACATTTGTGTTTAGTGCTTTGGAAGTAGACTGTCTAAGGTGGAATTTAATTTTAAATTTTTGTTTTTCACTGTTAATTATATCTCAAACACCACTGTTTTTATCATGTCTATTACTGCATCAGAATTAAGTCCTAAAACATTTGTATCAATTTGTGATAAATTTTTCATACTAAATTTTAGAGTTTGATTTTTATTTTAGGTAAAATGAAAAGCAGTGAAGAAATAACTGAAAGGTATTTGAAACTATGACACGATTATTTAAAATTTATTTTTACATAGTCAAAAATTTTCCGCTTCTCTTCATTCTCTTTGAGTGATTCAGAAATCGCTGAATTTTTGTACAGAAGTGATCCCTTCAAGTAATATTACTTGAAGAAATATTACTTATGCCCATCTGCTAAATAATAGATATGGAGGGTTTTGTTTTCATAAAATAAGTACATTCTTTTATGTCAAATATGCAAATGCAAATAAAATTGAATTGTATTACAGTCACAAAATAGAAGAAAATACAATTTCTGTAAAATTGTACAGTAGTTCAGTTAATATTCTAGGAGGACCATTCTGTAAAATACATATTCTTTACATAAGCCAATAATAAAATTATTAATTTAATGTACTGCAAATATGTTACATATTTATATGTGTGACTTTTCTTGTGGTAGGATCTTGCCCAACTTTTTTTTTCTTTTTTCCTTTCTTTGTAGCCAAGAGTCTGTAAAAGAAAGACACTTCAAAGAGCTCACTCAATATTTTGGAATCAATGATAGGTTTAAACCACTGGAAAGCAAGGAAACTACTCAAAAGGTGATTGCTAGATTTTTTAAAAATTGATTTTAAGCTTGCGTTACAAAGTGTATATGTTGCCCATCTCAACATTAGGCATTAAAAATTAAAACATTAAAATTAATAGCAAACTATATAAAAAGGACCAATATGTAAACGAGGTAAGGTGGAATGTGATGTATATGCATGCCTATACATAGACACACAGAACCCATGTAACCCAGCAGCCATAAATTACTCATGCTGATTGGTATGGCCAAAGTAAAGCAAGAATGGGGAAAATAAGGTCCGTATAGTGACAAAGTTGATCTTGTGCTCTTGCTTTGGACTAAGAATGAGAGTACAGTCTTCTGGTATTCCATGGTCAGTGATACATGTCAGTATAAAATATATATATTCATTTAAAGCTTTCATTTTCACACATCAATTGGAAAAACCTTTTGTTTTATGAATCAGTAAAAAAAAAATGCCCACTTTCAGGTTAATTGTTTAAGAAAGACACAAGTAAAAGAAAAGAATGGTTAAGGAAAAAGAAAGACAAGATTATCACTTCTTAATATGGTAAGGGTCATATTGGTTACTGAAATTTAATTGGAAGACATAATTATTTTAATAAACTTATGGTTCAGAGCTACAACTGCACTGAAAAAAATGTGGTTTACAAGTATTTGTCACGCTTAATGACCATTGGAAACTGGCATGTCTTTACGACAGTTGCAGTATTCCTGGATCATGTGATCATCTTTTGCAACCTTCCCAGCTGGCTTCTGACAAGCAAGTCAGTGGAGGAAACCAGATTCACTTGACAACCATGTGTTTCATTTAACAACTACAGTGATTTGGTTAACATCCATGGCAAAGAAAGTCACAAAATTTAATACAATTCACTTAACAACTCTTTTGCTTAGGAATGGAAATTCTGGTCCCACTTGCAGTTGATTTGTAAAAGCTAAAATAATTTAGGATTTGCTGTTGTATTTTTAAAGCTTATTCTTAATGTTTGATTTTAGAAACTAAAAGTGTATCCTTTTCCTACATCTAACAATTTATGGGTTTGAGTTCAATAATACAGTGAAATAAATGAGAGGTGCCATTTTGGAAATCACTTTCTTGATTAATATAAAAACTAAGAATTACAAAGATACAGTAATAATTTGGATTTTCCATGCAGTTTATACAGATATATCATATTTTGTTCAGGAAAAAATGGATGAATCAGATATTGAAATGAAATATTATTATGATACACCTAAGCTAGTTAACATTTTAAAATGCTGAATTTATTGAAAAAGTAAAGTGAAAATAATACAAAAGTTTGTTCTTATACAACAGTTCTGTAACTATCAATAGGGCAGACTAGTCAAATTAGAAATCAAAACCCACTTATGGTCAGACTTGATTCCAACCTGGATGGAAGACATTCCAGGACTACTCATTAAGCTGTAATGTCAAGAATATCCCAAAAAGAATATCGTAATTGCAAGCTACTTCAGTTTTTTTGGCAAGAAAACTATATGGATTTGTCTCGATAATTAGCAGATTTTGAGCCCTACTCAGTCATTGCTTCCTTATCTACTTTTTTTCTTAATTTTTCTCATGTGATTTGCTATATATGAAAGTTACAGATATGATGTTCATATTATTTTGGAATTGATAGATTTTTAGTACATTTTTGTAATGTTCAGTTAATATTCTGGGAGGACCATTCATTTTTTTCTCTCTTTTTGGTATGTTTTCTAGTCTGGCCTTGAAATCAGTATAGATAAATGTGTAGCTGAAGGCAATATTGCCCAAGCTGAGGAATTAAGTGATAGATTAGCTACTCGAGAGGTAAGTTACAATTTTGTTATATTTTCAATATGGTAATTATATTATTAGACATAATTTACAATTGTTTTATGGAACAGCTTTTAAGTTATTATTGCTTGGGAATTGCAGGAGTTATTTAGGAAATCCTGTGGATATATTCTATTCTTAATTGTCTCTATTGCAATTTGTGGTGCAATGGAATAAATAAATAAATTGTGCCAGAACACAAGAGACAAGTTTTAAATGAATACTTGGATCCAATAGATATAAAGACATAGTTCTTGAATGGCCAAGTTGCTCTACTGATTATCCTCTAGCTACTACTTCATGCTAGATTTTAATATGCTTAAATATTATAGGGACTACTGGTGTAAAATTGGGAAATGGCAATATATATTGAGCAGTATAAAGTGGAAAAAGGATTTTTTTAGTATATCAAGATTATAAATGTTCCATAATAATACAAAAGAATGAGGCCACTCTGATTAATTCTAAATGTTCACATTAAGAAATCCTCTTTACAATTTGATGTCATAGCCTACAAATAAATTACCATAACATAATAGATTTTGCTCTTGTATCTAAATGGTAAATTATACTATATATTATGTATGGTTTATCAAATCTATATTTTCTATTAGCTGTTTTACATGAGTTAATTAAAATAATTTCTCAATCTTAATTGAAAGACTATATAAACTGGTAAGGGATAGTGCCAAGGTACAAAGTAAAAAGATACATCAATAGTCTGTGGCTATTATTTATTGAGCTATGATTAATTAATTGGATTGAAGAGGTGAAGAACTATATATTTGACCTGATTTAGGATAGCCTACCAGGTTTAATGAGAGAAAAACAGTCAATTATGTTATTTGGGAATAAAAAGTTTTATGATGAAATTGGTAACTAAGGGGAAAAATTTGATATTGTTTATTTCCAGCCTTTTATCTAATTAATTATCAACTTTCATATAAAGTATAATGCAGGTAGTCCTCTGTTAATGGCTATTCATTCAGTAGTTCACTATTGAAACAGTAATAAATGAATGAATGGTAATTATGACTGGCCCTTAGCATTCGGGGCCATTGCAGCATCCCTGTAGTCACATGATTGCAATTTGCAACTTTAATAATGACTTCTAGGACTACTAGCATTGCCATCACTAAATGAAGGGGTAACATGACATCATGCTTTATGATTGTTTCACTTAGTGGTTTCAGTTCTAGCCCAAATTGCTTTTGTTAACTGAGGAATAACAGCCCTTGTTTTGTATGACTTTTTGTATAATTAATATTTGAGGCACATTATTATTTTCTTTTATGGATGGGATGAATAGACAGACAGCAAGTACAGTTACTAATTGTTCTCTACTGAGAACGCTAAACAAAATTTCAATTCCCCTTTTGAGATGCAATCATTTAACAAAGATGTTTCCTTACTATTTTTGAAATTCTGAATTCTCAGAAATGTAATCAGTGGCCTGAATATTAGGTAACATTGTTTGCAGATTTCTATTCTTCTTTATTTCATATTCTTTAGATGACCAAATTCTAAAAAATAATAATAAAGGTTGACTACAAGTTACTAAGTGTCACTATTGCTTTTATGTATTTTCAACTAAAATAAATAAATTTCTTGATATAGTTGTTTTCTTTTGAATTTGATGAATGAATGTTTAGTGAGTAAGTATTCTGTAGAGATCAGGTACAGTTTTGATCACTGATATTTTCCTTTCTCAAAAAGCAGTAACAGGAACCCGCTGATAAAGCCTTTGCTTTGAGGCATGGATTCCAGAATGCTTTAAAATGTTTCCTTCTATAATAAGTGAAACTAATTTTGATGTATAACATTTATAAGCCTGTGAAACAGATAGAGCAGCATGAGTATTTAAAGGGGAAATGAGGCCAAAAATAAAGAGATGGCTAAGAGAAGCTATGACACATGCCCTGAAGAGCTAAGCAATGCTAAAATACAGCTGTCAGTGTACTATCATTATGTCACAGTGAGAACCAATTTTTATGGAATCAGATTGCCTGGGAATTGAAGAAATTATAAATAATATACATAATCCGAATAGAAACAGCAGATTGAAACATGAGTAACTTTATTTTACTATGCTACACTTGATGCAATTACATTTTAATATACCTGACAATCCTCTTTGCACTGTTATTGTTAATTTGATATAATAGTGTTAAGAAATGAATATTCAGAAGAGTTTGGGGTGCTTTTTTTTTTAACAAGTGTGAACTTTTCTCTGAAGCATCAGGAATTATGAGAAATATTTTATTTTAATTTATTCCTAAAGTGAATATTGATAGAATAGTTTAGGATATTCTGTGTAAAAAATTTTTTTATTGTATGGGTGGTACATTTGTTATATTTCTGTGAATTGCCAACAAATAATGTTTACAAAATAGTCAGATAAATATCAGATTTGTTGATATTTTTGTTATCTGCGTATCTTTGTAAGATTTTGAGATACTGTAATAGTCAACTGTTTGATGAATATCTTCTTCAAAAGCTTTTGGGGAAAATACTATACAGCATAACAGTGTTTGCCGATTTACCTGTGTTCATGGTCAGTAGTGCTCTTAATATATTTTTTTCAAATAATTTTATTAAGTACTAAATTGTACAGAAGACAGCTAATACAAACGACAAAAAATAAAGTAGAAAGAAAAAGTACAAAGTACAAAAAAGAAAATGAAAGAGTAAAGAAAGAAAAAGAAAAAAGACTATAATAAAAAAGAAATAGTAACTTCCCTCTTCATCTCAACTAGTATAAACAATTTAAACAACATTTTCTCTTAAAATATAGGAAACCATCACTTTATCCCATATATCTGTTGTCAATGGGCATATTCTTAAACCCTCCTCATTCAGCTTGGTCAACAAAAGCCTATTAATGAGTAATAACATCTGGTTTAACTTTGATCAAATAGACAAATGCTATATTCCTTCCCTTTTACCAATATTAATGTTTAATCAAATAATGTCATAACATGCTGGATATAGCTTGGTTCAAAATTGTGTTGACAATTCCAGGGGATAGTAGAATAAATGATAAAGATTTGGGAGAAGTTTTAAAAATTGGTATCAAGATATCAGGATTTGAAAATTGAAGTTAAACTGGCCATAGTAGTCCCAGTTGTTATCAGCACAGTGGGTGCCATATCCATAAATCTTAGAAAATTGGCAAAATTTCCATCTATCAGTTGCAAGATTCCACATTGCTTGGATCTGCTCATATACTGCGCCAATATATTATGGCATCCTAGATTCTGGGAAATAACTTGAAACATCTGAAAATCAACATCAGTTAAAGAACTAGCAGCTGTGACCCTCAGTAAGCACTACCTTGAGGTGGTTGTGGGGCATTTGTATTCTGAGGAAGATGACATCTAGAGATTCAGCTATAATGTATAGGTCTCATTAGAGGAGCCATGCAAATAATGTCTCTGCCATAAGCAATATGGTAAGAAGTAATTTATACCAGAATAGTTGTCAATTGGGTCAATAAGGATTCTGCTGGATGTACCTGGATATCTGGGGACAAATGAACTACAGGATTCTGGACTGTTGGTTGTCAAACAAGGACCAGCAGCTGTGGATTACTGGAAGAAAGTTGTATACTCATCACAACTATACAAAGAATTAACACAAAGAAATAGTGATCTGTTATTAATATTTTCAAGAAGCACCATCTGCCCACAAGCCAGAACTGGTGGGATTAATAGAAGTTATAGAAAATGAAGAAGCTCAAGTATTCTGGGACTTTAGAATTCAAATAGAGTTGCCACATAACACCCCAAACTCAATTGTCAGTAAGAAAAATAAAAAGTCCATAAATTGGACATTGCAGTACCAAATTATACCAGAGTTGAAGACAAAAATTAAAATTATGCCAAAAGAAAACAAAGATAATAATAATAGTGCCTTGGGTACAATCCCAAAACCTCTGGAGCACCACTTGAATATCATTGGTATTGACAAAATCACTATCAGCCCGTTGCCTATTGCAAAAGGTAGCTTTATATGGAACAGCTTAGATCTTGTGACAGTATTTTTAACATCCATCAAACAACACCTACTTGTCACAGGTCCTTGGGAAGGACTCAATGAGTAGATAAAATGCCATTTTCAGTCTAAATACCTGGTTGACTGTGCAGCTAACCATAATAAGATTATGGCCTTTGGTGTGTTGTTAAAGTGGTGTCCTAGAAAGCTAGTCCTGCATTAATTATGAAAGCCAGCTGGACAACTTTGGGCAGGTCACCCTTTTATACCCCAATCCACCTTAAGGGTTGTTAAGAGTGGGTAAAATAGGAGCAGGAAGGAGTATTACGTATATTTGCTGCCTTGAGTTCCTTATAACATAATAAAGGCAGGATAAAAATCCAGTAAACCTGTGGTGATCCCAGTGGTTATCAGCACACTGGGATCTTTGACAGCATTCAGAAAAGCAGCACATTGACAAAATATCCATATTGTCAATTACAACATATCACATTGTGGAGATCTGCACATACATCCACTACTATATTACACATCCTAGGTTGTTGGGAAGAACTTGATGTATCTGAAAATCAACATCAGTTAAAGAACTATAGCTGTAATATCACATTATTATAAACAACAACAACAATTTCATTTTTATAAAGTTATTTCTTGCTTGTAGGCAAGACATTTCTTGGTGAATTCTAATGCACCACTGTTATTACTTTGTTATGCTGCTGCTTGTAATCAGTCTGTGCAATTGTCTTGTAGCAGCTAATCAGGTGGTCCACTGTTTCTTTAGCTTCTTTGCAGAGATGGTATTTTCTGTTGATGTCTTCTCCATTCTGGCTTTGTATACGTTTGATCTTAATGCTTGCTCTTGTGCAGCCAAAATTAGCCTCATTGTTTTTTGCTTTGACTTTCCTGTTCTTAGCCATTGCCAGATGTTGTTGCCTGATTTGCTTGCAGGTTCTTTTTTTTATTAAATGGCTGTGTAATATTTTGCTTTGCCATGTCTCTTC